AGGGGAGATATTATGATAAAGTCAATCAAAACTAACATGTTTATACCAAGATTTACTATGACAAAGAATATAAAATATAGCTGACAATTCTTATATAAAAATCATTTTGAAAGAAGTTCATAATTTTTTTTTCATACAAAAATGGGTATGAAGCCATCGTTTTGTCGTAAAAGATTTGATTAAATGAATCAAATAATCAAATATTTGTCTCATCTTCTATTCGTTATCATTCATATTATTTATGTTTGCAACAAAAGAACATAATGAAATTAATATCATATAAACTTTTCAATAATAAAACTTGTGAATAACATTTTTATATTCACACTTCCTCTACTATTTAATATCTCTTAAATGGAAAGACATAATTTGTTATGATGTACAAAACACTTTAATTATTGTAATAAATAATATATCATTATTTGAATCAAATTAATTAAATTTCACAAAAAAAAACAAAATTTTAATTTTACAAAGAAGAAACGTTATCACTTTATACAAAATTTGAATCGAAATCTTAACTTTCATACAAAACACAATCATAAACAATTATCACTTTATAGAAACGTTATAAAAGAAGAAAGTATAGATATGCAAATATTAAAAACCTAATAGATATTATGACAAAGTCAATCAAAATTAACAAGCTTAAACTAAGATGATTTCACTGTTGTACTATAAAAATAAACAACATAGACAACACAGAATATAAAATGTTGTTGACAATTCTTATATACAAATCATTTTTGAAAAAAAGATCATAAATTTTTTTCTCTTGTAAGAATGGGTATGAAATCACCATTTTGTCCTAAAAGATTTGATTAAATTTATCAAATAATCATATCTTTACCCCATCTTTTATTCATTGTCATTCATATTATTTATGTTTCTAACAGAAGAACATAGTGAAATCAATATCATATAAACTTGTTAATGATGTAACTTGTAAATATTTTTGCATGAATATTTGCATATTTACAGTTCCTCTACTACTATTAAATATCTCTTAAAATGAAGAATATGTATTTTTATGATGTACAAAAAACTTTAATTATCATAAAACGTAATATATCATTATTTGTATCAAAATTAATTAAACTTCACAAAAAAAAAAACTAATTTTTATTTTTACAAAGAATATATCATAAGCATATTACTAGAAATCTTAACTTTAATTATAAAACAAAACACATTCTTATACAATTATCACTTTCTTGAAAAGTTAAAAAAAAAAAAGGAAATGTAGATATGCAAATATTAAAAACCAAATAGATTTATGACAAAGTCAATCAAAACTAACAAATTTATACCAAGATGATATCAGTGTGTAACCTGCTGGAAAGATAAACAACATGGATGACAAAGAATATAAAATGCGACTGATAATTCTTATATAAAAATCATTTTGAAAGGAGATCATAAATTTTTTTCCTCTTCTAAGAATGGGTATGAAACTACCATTTTGCCTTAAAAGATTTGATTACATTAATCAAATAATCAAATATTTGCCTCATCTTTTATTCATTATCATCCATAATGTTTATGTTTCCAACATGATGTTTATGTTTTCAACAGAAAAACACAGTGATATCAATATCATATAAACTTATCCGTGATGAAACTTGTCAATAATATTTTCACATTTACACTTCCTCTATTACTATTAAAGATCTCTTAAATGGAAAGACATGATTTTTTATGATGTACAAAACATTGATTATTATAATAAACAATATATCATAATTTGTATCGAAATTAATTAAAATTCACAAACAAAATTACGAAGTGTGTCCTAAGCACATTACTAGAAATATGAGTTTCCACTGTAAGACAAAACATTCATATACAATGATCACTTTCTTGAAATGTTATAAAATAAGAAAGGGTAGATATGCAAATATTAAAAACTAAAAAGATATTATGATAAAGTCGATAAAAACTAACAAGTTTATACCAAAATAATTTCACTGTGACCTGCTAGAAAGATAAACAACATGAATGACAAAGAATATAAAATGCAGTTGACAATTCTTATATAAAAATCATTTTGAAAGAAGATCATAAATTATTTTTTTCTTATAAGAATGGGTATGAAGCCACCATTTTCCGTAAAAGATTTGATTAAATAAATCAAATAATCAAATCTTTGCCTCATCTTTTATTCATTATCATCCAAGTTGTTTATGCTTCTAACAGAAAAACACAGTGAAATCAATAACATATAAACTTGTCAATAATAAAACTTGGGAATAACATTTTTATATTCACATTTTTATCATTCATGTTGTTTATGTTTTCAATAGAAGAACACAGAAAAATCAATATCATATAAACTTGTCAATAATAAACTTGTAAATAACATTTTTCATATTGCTATATCATTTTGTAATAAAATGCAAGATGACAAATTGCTATATTTACAACATAGATGACAAAGAATATAAAATGCAACTGATAATTCTTATATAAAAATCATTTTGAAATAATATCATAAAAAAATTTTTATAAGAATGGGTATGAAACCACCATTTTGCCGTAAAATATTTGATTAAATGAATCAAAAAATCAAATCTTTGTCTCATCTTTTATTCATTGTCATCCATATTATTTATGTTTCCAACAGAAGAACACAGTGAAATCAATATCATATAAACTTGTCAATGATAAAACTTGTAAATCTTTTGTGTGAATATTTTCATATTTATAGTTCCTCTACTACTATTAAATATCTCTTAAAAAGAAGAATATGAATTTTTATTATGTACAAAACACTTTAAATATTGTAATAAATAATATATCATTAATTTAATCAAAATAATTAAATTTCACAAAAAAACAAAATTTTATTTTTACAAAGAGTGTCCTAAGGACATTACTAGAAATCTTAACTTTCAGACAAAACTCATTCATATACAATTATCACTTTATTGAAACAAAAGAAAGAAGTATAGATATGCAAATATTAAAAATCAAATAGATTTATGACAAAGTCAACCAAAACTAACAAATTTATACCAAGATGATATCACTGTGACCTACTGGAAAGATAAACAACATGGATGACAAAGAATATAAAATGCGACCAACAATTCTTATATAAAAATCATTTTGAAAGGACATCATAATTTTTTTTTTCCTCCTGTAAGAATGGGTATGAAACCACCATTTTGCCCTAAAAGATTTGATTACATTAATCAAATATTTGCCTCATCTTTTATTCATTATCATCCATGATGTTTATGTTTCCAATAGAAGAACACAGTGAAATCAATATCATATAAACTTGTCCATGATGAAACTTGTGAATAACATTTTCACATTTACACTTACTCTACTACTGTTGAACATCTCTTAAATGGAAAGACATTATTTTTTATGATGTACAAAACATTAATTATTATATAATAAACAATATATCACTATTTAAATCAAAATTAATTAAAATTCACAAAAAGAAACAATTTTATTTTTACAAAGAGTGTCCTAAGAACATTAATAGAAATATTAAGTTTCATTATAATTCAAAACACATTCATATAGAATTATCACTTTATTGAAATGCTATTAAAGAAGGAAGTGTAGATATGCAAATATTAAAAACCCAAATAGATATTATGACAAAGTCAGTCAAAACTAACAAGTTTATACCATGATGATTTCACTGTGATCTACTAGAAAGATAAACAACATGGATGACAAAGAATATAAAATGCGACTGACAATTTCTATATAAAAATCCTTTATCTCCTTTCTAAAGGAGATCATTTAATTTATCTTATAAAAATTAGATAAAGCCACCATTTTTGCTCTAAAAAATTTGATTAAATTAATAAATAATCAAATTTTTGCCTCATCTTTTATTCATTGCCATCCATACTGTTTATGTTTCTAAAAGAAAAACACAGTGAAATCAATATCATATAAATTTGTCAATGATGAGACTTTGTGAATATTTTTGTACGAATATTTTCATATTGATACACTTCCTTCATCTACTTCTATTAAACATATCTTAAAATGAAAGATATGATTTTGTTACTATGTACAAAACAAAAGTGTGGTAAGCATATTACTAAAAATCTTAACTTTCATTATAAGACAATGATCTTAAAAGAAAGATATGATTTTGTTACTATGTACAAAACAAAAGTGTGGTAAGCATATTACTAAAAATCTTAACTTTCATTATAAGACAATTATCACTTTATGAAAGCTTTATAAAAGAAGAAAATATAGATATACATATATTAAAAATCAAATAGATGTTACGACAAAGTCATTCAACACTTACAAGTTTAAACCAAGATAATTTTACTTTGACACAAATAATATAAAAAATGTTACTAACAATTCTTATAAAAAATCCTTTATCTCCTTATTAAAAGGATGTAATAACTTTTTCTTATTTTCATATTACTTTAGAAAATGAGGGAAGAAACAATTTCCATTAAAGATTCTTTTGAAAATGGGTTTTGCCATTTTATTTTGAAAAGAAATAAATTATTATTCCTTTTTAAATCTAATAAAAAGAAATCTTGTAAATGTATTCAACTTATTAAAAAAAATTCTTCTTCATATTATAAAATTATCTAGATCATCAAAACTCGGATACACTCTTTAAACTTTTTTCTACTATCTTCAAAGTATTAAACTAGATAAATGATTTTTACTGTATTTTTCTTTCCAAATTATACGAAAAGTAATATAAAAAATTAAAACTATTGTAACAATTCCATACATATCCAGATTCGTTTTCTTTAAATTTAGCTTATATTTATTTTATTTGAAACGTAGAAATTTTTATATTTATTTTATCTAGTTATAATTTTTTGTTAATCTGTTGTAAAGATGAGATATTAGATTTGTATTCATGCAAACAACTTAATTGTATAGAAAAAAATAAATCATTTCACATGCAAATAAGGCCCCAGCTCTAATTACTATAAGCAGCAAAATTTAACAAAAGTATATAAAAATCAGACCCTTTTCATTAGTTGGTGTCAGTAAAAGCCCTTCTCTCGAACAGTCTCGTTGCGGGCAACCCTTGATCGTACTGAGTCCAAATCTGACATTTTATTGATGCTGCATATTGTTCAGGGGATTTTTAGTTCACTATAACACTCAAAAAAGGTAGCGTACAGTTCTTTCGAAGAGAATAAATTAGAAAGATTATGAATTTATGTGATAGAAACAAAAACTTTTGGATGATAGCTGAAGACAATTTTAATGCGTTGTAAATTTACTTATATTCAAGGAAGGACTACCTTGTATGAATGACAAAATAATTTTACCTTAATGACCAAATAATTAACAGCAGTAAACAGAAAGAAAATTACCAGTATACAGTATCTCCTGTAGGAACCAATTTCTTGCAGATCCAGTCTGGGACCAACTTTTCCAAAGATTCAATTTGTTCTTCAACTTCTCCTACAGGGTAAGAATATTAGTTAGGTACGAGAAACTTTATATGTTGTAAACAACAGTTCTAGAACATACTAATCTCAACAACATCGAAACTGTTCATAAGGATCTTATGCAGGAGCTCCTCTTTTGTGATTAGAATTCTTTGGACAGATTGAAATATAGAGTGAATCACATTAACCAGATTCAGCATCGGTGAAGATTTTTCATTCAGTGTATCTAAACCAGCTTGCTTTTGGGTGATCTTCTCAAAAGAGTATCCAAGGCGTCCTTCTGCCTGCATTCAAAAGCCAAGTTACAAGAAAGAAGTCACTTTCAGGGGAAATAAATTTGTCAATTTAATAAAACAGGTCTGACACGGCATACCTCTTGAGGTACAAAGGCAGAACTAACAGACTTGCAGCAATACTGCGCACATTCTCGACTAGATTCGGGAAAGCTATCACTTTCACGCAGAGCTATGATAGATTCAAACTTCTGTACTCTAATGCCCAAGCCATTATTATCCTCCATGAGTGAAAAGTCAAGCACTCTTTTTGCTGGCTTATGACACGCCGATAAAACTTGGATAGGCATGTCCTGAAGCTTAACATCAGAAACAGGCAATAATCTTGCAGGTGCTAACTGGGCAGGAGTTTCGGTCATAAAACTATCAGCGGTGCAGGAGATATTTTTCATATCTGGGGTTTCAGAATTACTGCAAGTAACAGAATGTAAAGGACGGATCATATGTACCGGTGTATTAACAACATTAGTTTGAAAAGTCGTAGAAAAAGATTCCTTCTGGTGATCCACTTGATCAGATAATGGTACACTTCCTTTCTGCAGTCCCTTTTCACTTTCTTCGTTTTCCACATGTGATGATGGATAAGTTTTTGTGGATGAAAGCCCCTGCTCCCTTTCTGCCTGGTATACAATATTCTTCCCGGAGAAATGCCTACGAAAAGACGGATACAACTGGAATTGCTCCTGCAAGGTCTCGCTTTGATTGGAATCTGACACAAGTTTCGTTGAATCCAGAGACTGGTCTGAATATTCTATCGCATCTGAATTTTCACAATTCAAGATAAAAGTTTTCTTGCCAAAAGGTCCTGGCAGCAGGGCTTCTGGAATATGAGAAACCTTATCCACAACAAAAAAATAATTGACAACGTGAGATCTTTGGGATCAAATCCCCCTTTTAAAATAATAGCTCACACGACAGCTAAAAATTTAGATTAAATTGTTAAGACGGAATAAATTGCTGGTTCAAATGCATCAAATATAAAGTATAATAACTCAAAATTGGGAAATAAATTACCTCGGGATGCATGGAAAAAAAATCAAACAGCTTAGATCTAAAATATCGCCGAAGAGACAGATCAGCAGATTTACCACAGCAATTTTTCACAATCTCGAATCTCAAGGTGATCGAGATATCAGGCACCATGCACAAGCTTTTTTTGTCATGAACAAGCACCTTATCTATACATACACCTTCAGGCAGTATATACTTCATCTGCGCAAGATGTGCATGGGATAATTCCCTGTAAACAAAACACACGATACTCACTTCCTCACCCATCAACTTAAAACTCCAATAGTAATCGGTACCGTTACCTCTTCGACAGAACTTCGACCTGGCGGTAAACATTTTCAAAAGTTGGAGTCTTTTTGCACAGTCGCAACAATCTGAGTGAGCAACTCATGTGACCAAACAAATCTGCAAGCATAGAGTAACTGAAAAATATATACATATATATCAAATACAACTCAACTGACAAAAATGAAAACAAAATGAGCAAATTTCTCCAAAATTACAAAAAAAAAATGAATTAGGGAGCTCACTTATCAGGAACATTGGTATGTCCCTCTCTGGATTTGATCGTCAAGGGTTCATTGTTCTTTTGAGGGGTGGGGCATGCGATTGATTTATGATCGCCTTCGAGATCCTTCTCGCACTCCAAATCCGAAGCGTTTTTTAACGATTCCTCACGGGCTATTTGTTCCATTCTGCTATAGTGGTGAAAAACTGCAATGCATTGAAAACAAACAGATCGTGAATACAACAAGATTTCAGCAATTTCAACGGTGTTGCATGGAACGAGAGAACGAGGAGAGAGAGAAAGAGAGGGTTTACCCGATGGAAACCCTAGCAGAGCTTACTCTGCTAATACTCGCGAGGGAATGTGTGCCTATTCAAATGTCGCGTTTCGTGACGGTGATACGGGAGAATGCATTACTTATATAGGACAAAAAATGAACGTTGCAGTGTCATAATGAGGGGTAAATTGTTTCGTACCAAATATTATTCTTTTTTTTTTAATCATAAAAACGAATTTTTTTAAAACATAAAAAAATATGCTTTTATTCATAGTATCATAAAATTACAAACAAATACAATACACGTATTAGTTACTCTCATTTATTTATATGTCTCTTATTTATAATTTAAAAAGACCATTTTTAAGAATTCATATTTTATTTAATAAACTTGGTTTTACTCTTTGTATTTTTTAAATTGATTAATTTCATTTTTTATTTTAAAAAATAAAAAAGTTGGACTCTATTTTAACTTTATAATGGTAAAAAAATTTGGTTTATGTATTATATTAATTAAATTTTTATTTAATTAGTTGTAAAAAAAAAAAGATCGTTTGAAATTTGAAGCTCATATACATTTATAAAATCATGCCTAGAGAGAAGATAGTTTGAATATCATGCATGTATTTTCATTTCAATTTATAACAGTTAAATGTGCCTCCAAATTGCCTCGAAATTTATAAAATCATGCTTGGAAAGTGTAATAGCCCGAATTTATAAAGTCATGCGTGGAAAGAGATGATAGTTTGAATTTGATATGCATTTATTATCCGTTTGAATTCATAATTAGGGATATCACGGGTCGTTTATCACGGATTGAGTTGAATATGACTAAATTGATGATGAGTCAGACATTTTAAAATTGGCCTAATAGATGGATAGATTGATCACGGGTTGAGCTGAATCTGATTTAATTTAATTTATGACGAGTCAGTTAATTTATATTGATGGTTTCAAATCTGACATCATTTATACTGAATCAGAAATTTTATAAAAGATTAAATTTGAATGGATTGATTCATCACCGCTGAATTAATTGTTTATTTTGTAGTGAGTCATAAAATTTATAATTTGATTTAATCCATTAGGGTTAATGAAGTAGGTAAATTAGTTCATTAATGTATATTTTTTTTTTATCTTTTAATAAACATATATATATATATATAACTATATCATAAGAATAACATCAATAAGAATTATTCAATTGTTTTTAATTTATCATAATTTGGCTCAAACTCATCTAAATTGTGAGATCATGTGAATTAGGTTCATTTTTAATCTATTATTGATAAAAATTAAACTCAATCCAATTCGAACTCATAATTACTGGAATTGATTCTATAAGTTATAACTCATATTAATATCCTAATGGTTATATTAGTCTCTTACAAATTCGATATAGAAATCTTTCATATAAGATGAAATCTTTTTGTCCTTTTATTATTATTAATAAATATAAAATAGTGAGAGGATAAAATTATAAATATAAAAATAAATATATTTAATAATCATTAAGCTCAGAGAGTCAAAATCACAAATACATAAAGAAGTTACAAAATTGTTGAGGTCATAACTCTCCTTAATTCTCAAGAAGATTAGCCTCTATTTACACTATTTTATATAGACTATAAAAAGATGAAAAAAAATAAAAAAATAAAAGGTCAAATTTACAAATATATAAATAAATATATTTAATAATAATTAAATTTAGAAGATCATAAATATTAATCTAACATACAAAACTTTGTAACCTAACCCTCTTAACTCCAAAAAAAAAATTCAGCCTGAAATATAACATGAAACTTTTATAAATCTACCTTATGTATTTTCCAGACATATTCTAAATAAACCTATACATAAATTTTTTTATCATTTTTCATTCATTAGCATATATAAAGGATTAGCAGAGGTCATAATAAAAAAATTTGTTTATATTATGCCTTATTAAAAATAATTGAATATATTGATTTTGTAAAACTCTATTTTTTCCACCCATCACATTAATCGAATAAAATAATTTAATTTCATAAAAAATAATATTTTACTTTTGATATTGTATATAATTTTTTCAATTTTTAAAAATAAAAATTGAATTAGTCTAAGAATAATTTTTTTTTAATACAATGTAAAAATATTCTTTATTTTCAAATCTGTCGTTTTGGATTTTGTTGTAAGAGTGTGTAATTTTTCTTAAAAAATTAACAAAATTTCTTTTAAATTTAAATACTGTAAATTAATCATTGAACGTATATTATATTTTTATTAAAAAAATCATTTTAAGATTATGTAGATATTTAATAAAATATAAAATAAACCGGTTTCTGTACAAAACAAAAACTATAATACTAAGAAATTTAATAAATGTTATTAATAATAATTATGGAAACATGTGAAAAAAAAATCATTGATAAATTTGATCTGTCTAATAAATTTTATTTTCATTTTTATTTTGATCTATTAATAAACAAAAGTACAAAAGAGGTGAGAAGGGATGGTTTAGATTTACAAAACTAAAAAGTCATTATCCATTTAATAATTTTTATATTTAATCTAATAAATAAAGATAATAAACATATGATTATTATTATTATAATTTATATTGCAAATAACATGACAAGGGTGTTATTGTCTATATTATTATACATTTTATAAAGGTAGGATACAAGAGAGTTTTTAAAAATTATTGATATATACAAATATACAAATTTTTTTTTCATTCTCTTAAATTCACTCCTCAATTCAAATACAAGTTCTCTATCGTTAAATTCACTTTTCAATTCAAGATCTCTCAATCAATTTTTCTAAATCAAACACATTGTAATACTCTCAACGTATAATAAAAGATTTTTATTTCTTTTTACGTTTTTGTAGTTGGGTTATGTGTGGGATTTTGAATTTCATATGGGAGACAACTTACATGTGATAATTCAAGACAAAAAAATCTTTATTAGTTTAAAGTATTTGTGATGTTTTTAATTTATTAATCGAAGTTTTTCTGTAAATATGTTTAGAACTCCTGTGAGAATTAAGAATTTGAAAATTTCATCAAAGAAATTGAGCACAAGATAAAAAAATTAGTAACATAATTTCATAGTATGATAAATAGAAATTTTGAATGAAATAGATTGATATTTTGGAATAATTTGTAATTTTTTAATTGTTGGATGTGTGATGTGATTTATTTTAAGTTTAGGTGTTGTTTGTGAAGTACATAATATTTGCATAATTGGCATAGATGACCCATTATCATTCTAGTCAAAATGCAACCAATAATAAAACTATTAATTTGATTTTTTTAAAAGAGAATTAGTAGTTTGAGGAGCTACTCATACATGAAAAGATATCTAGTTTAAGTTGTTTGAATAAAAAAAATTATTCACCTCAAGTAAGTATTTGATAAAATAAAATTGAACCTAAGAGTAATGAGAATGCTCGGAGGATGTCTTTAATTGCCATTTTCTGAGGTAATGAAGATTAAAAATGAAACTTTTTATGTTGAGATAATTTTTTAAACCATTATAATTTGAATGAAATAAATATAATATATATGTATAATTGATTTAAAAATTGATTATATGTACATGTGAAGTGAAGTATTAATCATTATTATTTTCAATAATAAAAATCATGTTAAAATATAAATTATAGGTTGAATTTATGATACTTAATCGTATCATGAGAATTAAAGAAAGTTCTTATAACTTAAATTATATAGTGGGAAAAAGTCATATCACATTGATGAAAATTAGGCACTGAATTAAATATATGATGTTTGAATAAATCTTAAATTCATGATATTTGTTTTAATGTGATGTGCCATTGAAGATGTATGATGAGTATATTGTAACAATAATTTTCATGTTTGTTTCATGAGTTGTTTCTATTTGTAATAAGCCTGATTTTTTACCAGAAACAAAATAATATTTTAAGTGATTAATTTTAATACCGAATAAATAAGGGATATAAAAGAAATATTTTTTTTTACTTATTTTGTATATTTTTTTATATGTATATAACTTTCTAAGTGAAAAAAAATCTTCACTTATACCATGTTATAAATATTTAATATATTTATATTATCTAACTGTTTCATTTTAATTATCAATATAATCATTGATGAGATATTATATGATTATTTATTTAAATAAAATTATTTATTTATTTTTAATCATTTAAAAAAATTAATTAAATATTTTGTATTGTGTATACACGAAAACACATTAAATTTTTTGTTTTTTACATAATAAGAAGATAAGTGTAAATATTTAAAATAAAATAGAAAAATAAGAGATGTAAAAGTGAAGACATAGACTTATGCCTTGTTTTCAGGTAAATATATAATATAAATAAAATTTTTTATAGTATATGACGTTCTTAAACTAAAAATAATCGTTTTATGCTTAAACTAATTTTTCAATATTACAATCTCAAATAGTTTTTAGAGCTTAATTTTAAGATTGTTAATGTATATTTTATAACAACACACTAGAATTAATCATAAACATGTCTTTAGTTTAATCATTCTTTAATTATAATTTTATATAAATAAGTAATTCAACCGATGTACTGTAATGTACTTAGTCAAATTATAGTTTTTACTTTTCTTATTTTAAAAAATATTTTTCTCTCTTCATTATATTGCATTAAAGTGGACTCAAATCAGATTTTTGATACGTGTCGTGTTCTTCACCATTCAACATGATTAACTTGTCCCAGTCGAAAAAGTTCAGATGCATCGTAATTCACAAAACAAGATACGTGAAAGTACCAATGAAAACGGAATGTCATGTGTTGCTTCCACGTGTTGTTCAAGGTATAATTTTAAGTAACTACTCTTGTCGTTTAGTTGTGGCATTTCAACTATAACACGTGTGAGACAGTAAAAATTATGCACGTGCATCATCCACGT